AAAAAAAGGCTTGTCCATAAGTTCTAAAATAAATATGTGGCAGGTAGGATTTTCTAGCTTGGAGAGATTGTACATATAGGACTTACCTAAGTTGAAGATAATATTCCACAATCAACTTGATCCAGACTCTTTTGGCAGGATCAGAATTATAGATGTTTGTAGATGCCACAGTCTGATTAATATCTTTGGGTCAAGTATCATGGGAAGATTGAATGGTCTAGAGACATTAAAAATATAGCAATGTCAATTAGTACAAGTGGTATATGACACATCATCTACCACTCAGTTGAATGGATTTGAACAAATCTAAATTCAGTTAAGATAGAAGCATGTGAAAGTTTGAAAAATGTCTTCCCCGCCTCAGTGGCCAAAGATCTTAAGTAGCTAAGCAAGTTGAAGGTTGAGAATTGTGGTTTAACGGGGGGAAATTGTTGCAAAGGAAGAAGGACCAGAAACAACACGAGTTCGGGTTCCCTAAAGTAACATCTATGGGATTTCATAATCTACCCCAAGTTCGGAGTTCTTATCCAGGGCTGCATGTTTCTAATTGGATATCACTCAACCAATTTGTGAAATCCCGTTCCTGGATTTCATTGTTATAATCTACGTATTTGTATTATTGAGATTTTGTATTATTTTTCGAAAATTTATATTTATTTATTTGAATTTGGATTTCAATTAAACTAGTTACAAAGAGTGAAGTTTGGAAAATTATTATTTACTCGTTGACCTTTCGAGGTCACAAGTAGCGTTTTCGAATAGATCTCGAAACCACGAATGTATTGGCGAAAGCCGTTTGCGAGCCTGGATTATAATGGTATAATTACGGACATTTGAAGTTGTGTTACTAAACTATAGATTTTAAATCGATTAAACTTCCACGAGGAAGAAGCTTAATCAGATTTAAGCAAAAATAAGAGGACTAATTAGCTAGCAGGAGAAGGACCAATCAAATAAAAGGGGGGGGGGGGAAGGTTTCTGAAAAAAAAAAAAAAAAGGAGGGGTCTGATTTTGACCCCTTTTTGGGGCGATTTCAACCCTTTAACCCGCCAACTTGACCCACTCATATCTCCTTCATCCGAGCTCCGTTTTGGGTGATCTTGGTGTCCATAGAAAGCTCTTGACGAGCCATACATCTCTGTAGTGTTAAATTTTCCATTTTATTATCCATTTTTCTAGTTTGAGGCAGAAAATTTATGTGGGTTTCTGGCGATTTTGTCATTTTTCATGTGATTCCAGCAACCATTTCCTTCGAGTGAGGTAGGAAACTTCATCTACTCTTCATAATCTTCAAGTTGATATGCTTGGTTTGTGCTTTCGTATTCATTTTAGAGTTGGGTGTTTAGAACCCTAGAAATCCGGTTTTCTTCGGTGAATTTGGACAGTTTCCGGTTAGAATTTATCATTGGCCTAGTTGTGAAAAGTGTTTCCCTTGTTGAGCTCTAGCTACCATATAAATTTGAGCTCATTTAGTTCATGTTGAAAATTAGGGGTTTCTAAACCCTCCACCTTGGCTACCACCGCGTGTGACCATCCACGAGTGTTGTCTAAGTATCAAATACCTTCTAGTGACCTTGTGAACCTATGTCTAGCTCGGTTTCCCGAAATTCAATTGTTTGGTGTGGTAATCAAATTGGACAGCCACTTGTTTGTGTGATTGATGACAATCCGATCGTTGGTTCGTCGTACAATTTTGTGAACACCCTAGTTATCAGTTGTTAGACCTTTGAGAACTTATAGATAGGAAATCCGATGTGTGGATCTTCTGGATCAAATAACCTTAGGTTGTTGACCTTAATGGACCTACCTTATCGACGGTTGACGTTCTAGTCAACGTGCTCTACTCTTGAGGTCGCTTACCTCTAGTATGTTGTTGAGGCTTGATGGAGCTTAGTTGGCTCATCATGATGACGTGTCATTCCCAGTTGACGTGTGTCTCGATATATGTATTAGTGGCACCATATTGAGTTATACTTGTTGATTAGATATGCTTCCTATTGAATTGTTATTTTTATTTTTAGCATCGATCTATGTTTAGTAATTGTGAATCTACTGTAGTTTGGAAATGTTATGAAATGTGGTTGGATATGTATGATGTGAATGATTGTTTTTATGACGATGTAAACCCAAAATCTTATGAGAAGTTTATGTAGAACTTTTATGCTTGTATGATAAGATAGTGGTCATGAGAAGTTGATAGTGCAAGTGATTACGATGTAAATCATAGCAATGAGATTATGCCTATGGTTCTGCTTGGTATATCCGCAATGGGGGACCATATGTATTCAGGGGTGATCATGCTTGGTATATCCGAGATGGGTGATCACTGCATGCACGATGAGATTATGCCTATGGTTCTGCTTGGTATATTCGCGATGGGGGACCATGCGCATTCTAGAGGTGATGATGATTGGTTGTACCTGGTACATTTTATAGGCGATCATATTTGGGTTGGTTCCGTTGAGTAGTCCGGAACCCGAGGTTGTTGAATTTCGTGGAGTGGCCTAAAATCCCATTATTTGGAGAAGTAGGCTTGGCCTAACTGTGTCACTCTAGCCTTAGTTTTATATATATTTGTGTCAATGGTTTCGAGAGTCTTGTGAATTGAGTTAGAAAAGATGTTGGACGTCTGAGTGACTCCTTCGGGATTTTCTATGATTTGATTATGATTTCATATGGTATGAATTTAGAAGATATGGGAATGACTGTTATTACTTGATCAAATTAATTAATTAATGCGGCTAAAGAATGGTTTTGTGTTTCGTCGGCTCTTAAATATGATGTGTGTTGTGAATTGCGATATCATGATGAGACATAATGATTTATATGTTGGATGGGAGAGAAATCATGTTTTCATGGGGATTGGTTATGTAGCCTGAGTCCAGGGATTACATGTTGACAGGTTATAATAAATGATTGAGGAATGCTATGCTTTTCTGCTTGAACTTAGTGGAATAAACGTCTGATTTTGTGATAAGTGAACTACGAATGGCTTGATCCCTATTGAGGGTACGTAGGCAGTCTAACGAGGAAGTTAGATGCATCCATAAGGTAAACGAAAAATTACTTCATAATGGTTTGGTATCCTTTAGTTACCAAACGAGCCTTATATTTGTCAATTGTACCATCTAGTTTTAATTTCTTCTTAAAGATCCATTTGTACCCAATTGGCTTATTGCCAGAGGGCAAATCGACTAATTCTCATGTATGATTTTGCATAATGGAATATATCTCACTATTAACTGCATCCTTCCAAAATGGAGCTTCAGGAGTGGAAATGGCCTCCTTGAATGATTGAGGTTCTGTCTCGGTTAATAAGGTCACAAAATTAGGCCCAAAGTCCTTTCAAATTTTTGTCCTTTTACTTCTTCTAGGTTCAAGTTCTTCCTCTTCTTGAACTCTAGACGAGGTTGAACCATCATCATGTTCTCTAGGTTCGTTAGTAACCTTAGATACATCATCATGTAATCTTTTTTTTAATAAATTAGACTTGCCTATTTTGTATGGAAAAATATCCTCAAAAAATATTGCATTTATAGATTCTATAATAGTATTGACATGTATATCACTTGCTTCGGAATGAAAAACTAAGAATCTATAAGCTGAACTATTAGATGCAAAACCAATAAAAACACAATCTATAGTTTTAGGCCCTAATTTTGTTCTCTTTGGCAACCCCACACTTTAAGCAATTTAAACGTTGGAGTTCTTCCTTTCCATAATTCATATGGTGACTCCTTTCTCGTTTTAGGTGGAATTCGATTCAAAATTTTATTTGCAGTAAGTAAAGCTTCGCCCCACATATTGTGTGGAAGCCTAGAGCTATTCAACATGGAATTGATCATGTCTTTAAAAGTCCTTTTTTTTGTTCGGAAACACCGTTTTGTTGTGGTGTATAGGGGGCTGTTATTTGATGAATTATGCCATGTGTGGCACAAAATTCAGCAAATGCATGAGACTCATATTCTCCTCTCCTATCGGACCTTAAGACTTTAATCTTCTTGTTAAGTTGATTTTCAACTTCTGCCTTATATGTCTTAAACATATCCAAGGTCTCATCTTTGCTATGAAGTAAATAAACATAACAATACTTATTGAAATCATCTATAAATGTTACATAATAGTTCTTTCCACCACGAGTTGGATATGATCTAAAATCACACAAGTCACTATGAATTAAATCTAACAAATCATTGGATTTTTCATGCACTGATTTAAAGCTTTGACTTGCAAATTTCGATTCTGTACAAGTTTCACATTTAACATTATCTAGATAATCAATTTTGGGGAGCAAACCTAAATTATGCATTCTAAAAAGAGAACGAAAAATTTACATATCCTAACCTAGAGTGCCATAAATGAGACGAATCAACAATATAAGCAGAAGCATTATTTATTTCATTCATAGCATTAGCAAGTACATTTAGTTTGAATAATCCATCAGCAAGGTAACCCTTCCTTACAAACATTCCCCCTTTAGTTAGTACAAACTCATTGGACTAAAAAACTAGTTTGAATCCTTTATTACTAAGGATAGGACCAGAAACAAGATTCTTCCTTATATCGGGGACATGCAGCACGTTAAGGAGGGTTAACTCCTTTCCATAAGTGAATTTCAGAACACACATCCCTATTCCAGCCACAACAGATGCAGATGCATTTCCCATAAACAGCTGCTTGTTTCCCTCGATTTTCTGGTACAAAGAGAACATATTTATGTCACCACATACATGGCAAGTTGCACCAGTATCTATCCACCAATCAGCGTAGTCAGATACAAGGTTGATTTCAGAAATCATTGCAGCCAGGGCATCCACATTGTTTTCAATCAGGTTTGCGCGGTTGTTGTTGCCTTGATTTCCTGGACCTTGATCCATTCGATGGCGACATTCTTGAGCCCTATGGCCTTGCTTTCCACAAACCCAGCAACTTCCCTTGATTTTCTTGAAGTCTTTGCCTTTCACACCAAGGATAAAGTGGCTTTCCTTCTTCTTAGTTTTCTAGAATTTCGACCTTTGCTTTGATGAACTTCCTTCAACAACATTCGCCTTGGCTTCCATACTCGAAACCAGGCCCTTCTCATTTTTTCTGTTATCTTCCTCAATTCTCAGCCTTACAATGAGATCCTCAAGGGTCATCTCCTTACGTTTGTGCTTGAGATAACTCTTGAACTCTTTCCAAGAAGGTGGCAGTTTTTGTATAATGGACGCCACTTGGAAAGACTCATTGATTACCATCCCTTCAACATGAACGTCATGGATGATTTTCTGGAGATCTTCAGTTTGAGAGACAAAAGACTTGGAATCCACCATTTTGTAGTCCAAAAATTTGCTCACGACAAATTTCTTTGAACTAGCATCCTCGGTTTTATATTTTTTCTCAAGTGATTCCCAAAGTTCCTTGGCTATTTTGAATACCACATAGACATTATACAACGAATCATCTAATGCATTGAGAATATAGTTTCTGCAGAGGAAATCATTATGTTTCCAGGCATCTATGGCCGTTAAAGTTTCTACAGAAAATATATTTTCTCCATCTGCAGTAGGCTCAGTTTCGCGCAGAACATTAGCCAAGTTCAGTGTTGTCAAATAAAACAGCATCTTCTGTTGCCATCTTTTGAAATCTCCGCCCTTAAATTTCTCAGGCTTCTCAGAATGAGGTTTAGTTCCTGATTGTTCCATATTGTTCGAAGATTGTTAGAGAACAATTCAGAAATAAACAAAAATAACAGAAATTCTAATATTTTATTAACCAAAATATACTTGCTATGCAAAAAGAAAATTACACAATAATACAGAAATTAATATAAGAATATTAATGTTACTAACTTGATTACAGAAGGTAGAGGCTAGCGTAAAAGCTATGTCCTTCGAACAGTATTTACGTCTCGCTCATGTGCTTGTGGTTCTACAACGTCTGCTCGACCAGAATTCAACTACCTGATTTTACAATCTGCACTGGGTTCTAGAACTCTAGCGAATTTGCTTTTTGTGTGTTTACTCTCTAGAAAATTCGTACAGAAGAAAAGAGCAAGAAAAGATAATTCATTTGGATACTGTGATTGCAAATATATAGGCTGTTTCACACCCTTTCAAACACCTGTTCAATGTATTTGAAGGTACACAACTCTTTCTAAGAGCTGTGTCTTTTAATCAAAACGTTTTTAATTAATAAATTAATTAAAAACTTAATCCGAAAATTAAAATTAATGAATCAAATTAATTTTAAATTCCAAGGCCCCAAGGGCCTCTTGATTAGTTAATATTAATTGTATTTAGGCTATATTATACAAGCCTAATCCACACAACCATAAGGCCCAAACCTTCAATCCATTTCCAAATGGTCCATGTTTTAACTACTAGACTAAAGCACTAAATCTATATAAAGGCCATTGAGAATCTTGTTTTCTCCAATGTGGAACAAGAGTCTCAAAACTTCCAACAGCAATGATATAAGCCTTGCTTCCGTGGCCGATTTCAACTTGTTTGATATAAGCCTGCAAGAAACTAAATTAACAAAATGAGGAAAAAAGTGTGCATAAAACACTTTCCTTTTAAATTTTCATAAGAAACTAATTAAACGACTAGAAATATCTAGTGCAGTCATTGAGTACTTATCCAATACGTTGCCCTAACATTGTTGCTTCATGTTTATAAAAAACAAACATTGTTGCTTCATAGTTTCCCTGACCTAATCTAGAAAATAAAGAGTTTGTTTCTATTAAACCTTAATATAAAACAAAAAATTTGTTTGTAGCAAACAAGGCAAAAAGAGGATAGATGATAATCTCAGACTAATTAGAAAGGGAGGAGGGAAGATTCTAGAAGTGACTACCAGGCGAAACTTGCGCTATATAAGGAAATTGGTCGCGATAAGTTTACTGAACAGTTTTCAACGAAGGAGTCCAGACACAACCACCTATGGCAAGTGCATCACACTGATTTGAATCTCATCATTGGGTTTCAGAGGAAAAGAAGGTGATGATTGAACAATGTGCGCAAACGAATATTTCCATAAGTATACAAGTGGGTTTATTAGAGGTGCAAGGTGGAGGAATTAGAATAATTGGTTGCACCCCAAGGATATGTATAACGTCGAACAACAATTGCGAGCTCATCTAATTGAGCATATGATGTGGAAATGCTCAAAGAGAATTTTGATGATGAGAAAAAGAAACAAGTCATTCTATTACAAGATGGAGAATGAATTAAGGCGGAATACTTAGAAATTTCTTTTGGGCGGATGCTAAGTCAAGATGTGGTTATAACCATTTTGGTAATGTGATTGTGTTTGACACTACATTCAACATCATTGTGGATGGGATGATATTTGCTTCTTTGTTAAGAGTGAATAACCATGATCAAACCATGGTATTGGGTTGTGCATTCCTGAAAAATAAAAAATCGAGAGCTTTGAGTGATTGTTTGAAGAATTCCTTAAAGCTATGTTGGGTTAGCCGATGAAACTTGGCTTGGGTTTCTACATTTTGTAAGCACGCTTTTTCTGTCAGAATGTTGAGCAGTCAACATGCCTAGTGTTCTTATTACTTTTTCAAGCAGTATGCTAATAGAAAGCAGTCTTTAATTGAATTCATCATTCGTTTAATTGATCCCTTGGACGCCAACATCAGAAAGACCATAATGATGAAAACTGTGTCCTTCTTATGCTGTTTCGCACCCTGATGGAAGCTCAAATGGCCAAATTGCACACCAGGTTTATGTTTGAAGGGCTTTAAGTGGACGAATTGAAGAGTATAACTTGTTTCTTGAGGGAGAAGTCAGTGGATGGGAATGAGGACATGTATGAAGTACTTGAAAGGTTGCATAAGTGACAAAGACAAAGAAGATGGTGATTGATACGGTCTCAGATATTGCTAAATGTAGCTGCAAAGAGATGGAGTTTCGCGGAATTCCTTGTCGGCACATATTGTCTATTTGAGAATGAAACAAATAGAGTTGCTGCCTCAATCTTACATATTGAAAATGTGGCTTCAACCACCGAATCCAGTATTATTTTGGGATAGTGAAGGCAAAGATACGACACTTCTATCGTGTCCAAAAGAGCTCTGTTTTTTTTATAAAAAAAAAAGTTTCAGATCTTATTAACAAGGCATTGATGTCAGAAGAAGGTAGTCGTGGTCGAAGTTGAACTCTTTGGTTTTTGGTAACCGTGGTCGAAAAAAAAAGTGAATAGGGAGGTAGGAGTTCTCAAAGAGAGGTGGTTAAATATCCAGTTCAAGTTAAAAGAAAAGGGGAGTCAAAAACAAGTCGAAAAGAGAAATGAAGTCAATATTGGAGATGGACCAAGGACAAGCAGAATTGTCCATTACCAAATATAAGGTACACAGGTGAAAGTGAAAGTAATTGCTGCTCATGCTTTACCTCACAATATCTTAGTGGTAGTAATATTTAAAACAAGTTTATTGTTTTGTAATTGTCCATGTCTTGTCCTACCGATACCGAAGAACAAACACATGCCACACTAAGTATGAAATCCCATCCCCGAATTTCAATATTTAATTTTTCATATTTCGTAATTATGCAAATTTATTTTCGTTAATTTAGAGCTTTAATTAAGTATTTCAAAAGTTTGAATTTTCATTAAAAATCCGTACATCTTTCGAGGTTACTTTTAGCATTTTCTGATAGAGCTTGATCCCACGAACACGCAAAGGAAAACCGTTCACGAAACAGTTATCAACGTACTAACCCCCAAGTTTTATGAAAACACATATATATCATGATAAACATAGGTTTTCCGAAACCTAGCATGTCGTGCAATGTCTCAAATCATAACTTGTATATATAATAATCACTAGTGAATGTCCAATAACTCTCCAGGCCCCATGCCGGCTCCCCGTCTCTAAACAAACAGTCAGAGGAAAATTACCCCAGGCCCCATGTCGGCTCCTCGTCCTTGTGCTAATAACCAGAGGAAAAACACTTCAGGCCCTATGCCAACACCATAACCGTTGCCCGGAACTCTCTTAGGATAATTTGACGTCCTGAATCCGTTTCCGACGTCCGCATTCCCAAATTCAATTGTTAGAATAAAGTTTTATTAATTGGACCCTTTATGTGCTTATGGGCAATTATTGTGGCATTTCTGTCTTTGCTAATTTGCATGGCTCTTCAGCGGCGAAGTATCTATGAGTGGACCCTTTCTAAAATGCATGTTTTAATAGTATAAATGCATACATGAAAAGCATGATTTAATGATTACATTTTATGAAACATTTTATGAGATAACATGCTAACTGAGGCTATTTTGAATTAGGGTTAAACTCTGTTTACTACCTTAAAGTTTTGTGGTTTTCAACATTTACTACATCAAGTTTTTTTCGTCCCAGAGTCATACCTAAAGTGTAAATTTTGGGACAGTCTCATACATCTGTTAGTTAATGTGTTAAATCTCCCATTAACTGTGACGTGGCGCCCACGTGGACAATGACTGGGCGCCACGTGGATTTTTTTTTTTTTAGGGGTTAAAAAAAAAAAATTCCCGCCCAATTTTTTTTTCCCATAACCATGTACCTTACATTTTTTCCCGCCAAAATTTTTTTTTAAAAACAAAATCATGTACCTTTTTTTTTTTTTTTTTCTTCTTCTTCTTCTTCCTCGGGGGGACGAATTAGGTTCCCTTTTTTTTTTTTTTCTTCTTCTTCTTCCTCCTCCTTCTTCTCTTGTTCTTCTGGGTTACAGGGGGTTAGGTTTGGGGGGCGGGGGGTTGGAGACTGGTGGACGAACTGGGTTCAGTTTTCTCTTCTTTTTTTTTCATTCTTCTTCCTCCTCCTTCTTCTTCCTCGGGGGGATAAACTGGGTTCCTTTTTTTTTTTCTTTCTTCTTCTTCTTCTTCTTCCTTCTCATCCTCCTCCTCCTTCTTCTTCTTCTTCTCCTTCTTCTAGGTTGCAGAGGGTGGACGAACTGGGCTCGGTTATTTTTTTTTTTCCATTCTTCTTCCTCCTTCTTCTTTCTCGGGGGGACGAATTGGGTTCCCCTTTTTTTTTTTTTTTTCCTTCTTCCTCCTCCTCATCCTCATTCTTCTTCTTCTTCTAGGTTGCAGGGGGTTGGGTTTTTTTTTTTGGGGGGGGGGGGGGGGGGTGGACCCTCCTCCTCCTTCTCTTCCTTCTTCTTCTTCTTCTTCTTTCTGGGTTGCAGGGGGTTGGGTTTTTTTTTGGGGGGGGGGGGGGGGGGGGGGGGGGTGGACGAACTGGGTTCGGTTTTCTCTTTTCTTTTTTTTCTTTTTTTTTTCTCTTCCTCCTCTTCCTTCTTCTTCTTCTTCTTCTTCCTCCTCGAGGGGATGAACTGGGTTCCCTTCCATTTTTTTTTTCCTTCTTCTTATGGGTTTTTTTTTTCCCTTCTTCTTCTCATGGGATTTTTTTTTCTCCTCCTTCTTCTTCTTATGGGTTGCAGGGGGTTGGGTTTTTGCTGGGGGGATGAACTGGGTTTGGTTTTTTTTTTTTTTTTTTTTCACTTTCTTCTTCCTTCTTCTTCTTCTTCTTCTTCCTGAGCGTGGAGTCGAAGATGGTGATGGAAGGGTTGGATTTGGGGAAGACGAAGAGGTGGGTGATGGGAGGGTGGGCACGGGTGGGATTTGGGGAAGGTGAAGGTTTTTTTTTTTTAATATATATATATATATATATATATTATAAATAATTTATTTTTAATTTCCACATGAATGA